CCCGCCGGCGCCCCCCAGCCGGGCTCGCCCCGCTGACAGAGCGCCCGGCCCGACCGCCCTCACCCCGAGCCGCCCGCAGCCTGTCGGTGTCCCCGGGGCCGGGAGGAGGGAGAGCACCGACGGGTACGTACCAGGGGCGCATGGCGAGGCGAGCTCGGCGTTTTCTCGGCGGCCTCAGGCGGGCGGCGGGGCCGGGCCGAGCCTCCAGCGCGGCGGGCCGGGGGGCACCGCGGCCTCCTGCCCCGCGGCCATGGCGGCGGCGGCGGGCGCCCGCTCACCCTTCACCCGGAAGCTGAACCGCCGTCTCCCGGAACCGGGACCAGGATCGGGACCGCCTCAGCGGGCACCCTCCGGTGGGTGCCGGGGCTCCGGGGCCGGCTGTGCGAGCTCGGCTCAGCTCAGCTCGGGGCGGGGCCGGGCCGCGCCGCCCTCCCACAGCCAGCGGGGGAGGAGGCCGCGCAGCCACAGGTGATATGCCCTCACAGGCCGCGGGGAGGCGGTGGCTTCCCCCACTGCCCAACAAGGCGCCCGGCGATTGGCTAGCGGGCGCGGCGGCGGCGCGGCGATTGGCTGAGAGGCGGCGCGAACGGAAAAGCGGTGAGGGAAGGGGCTGAGGGAGGCCCCGGCTGCCAACCCACCTGCCCGGCCATGGCGTCTGGCAGCGCGGCCGGACACTCGACGCTGAAGAGATGCCTTGGCGTGCTCAGAGACGCGAAGAACGACAGCGAGCAGTTCGCGGCCCTGCTCCTGGTGAGGAACCCGCCATCGCCTCAGGAAGGGGCAGGGGGAGGCAAAACCTGCTTGTGGAGACGGGAGCTGGCGGGTGATGGGGGCTCCGGGGCAAGGTGCTTCGGTGCCTCAGCGCTCCCGGCAGCAAAACGGGGGGAGCCCGGCCTTGATTGGGGTGTTCTGGGGTTAGTCGTTGCTGTGTGCAGCTCTTGAAGCACCCTGGTAAAGCTCTGGAGGAGCGCTGAGACCAAGGGCCCAGCCCAGCGGTTAAGGGTTCATGTTTCTGTACGACTGAAAGTTGTGTGGGCTTCTTATTTTTCCCCGTTCAATCCTGTAAATTTAGCAGGGCCTGTGTGCACTCACCCCGGGTTTGCCTTGCAGGTGACCAAGGCGGTTAAAGCCGGAGAACTGGATGCAAAGACCCGTCGCCAGATCTTTGATGCGATTGGATTCACATTTCCCAACCGCCTGCTCACCTCCCGGCAGCCCCCGGCCGGCTGCCCCGAGGACACCTTCCGGGCACTGGGCCTCACGCTCCTGGCCTGTTTCTGCACCGATCCGGAGTTAGCTGGTCACTCCCAGATCCTGAACAAGATCCCAACCTTCAATGACATCCTGGTTTCCCCCCGCAATCCGGACAGCACGTCCATGGTCGATGATGTGTACCAGTGTCTGAGCGCTGTCATGGCCACTACCAGGGGCCCCAGAGAGTTGGTGACCAAAGGGACGGTGTCTGCTCTCTGCCAGGCCTACCTGAATGGCAGTTATGGCTCTGACCGTGCCTTGACGCTGCTCTTGGGGCTGTTGGCCGTAGCAGAGGCGAGGTGCTGGCAGAGAGACGCTCCACACCTCCTGGCCGTGCTGAGCAAGCTCTCCGATGATTTTCTCAAGGCTGAAGACATGACCAAATTTGAGTTGTGTGAGGTTTTGCCTCACTTCATCCCCCTGTCGCCACCCCTCACGCAGGACTCGCAGGGCTGCGAGTGCCTCCACAGACTTTACAAAGGGCTGGCAAACGTCTTGGGCAGCAAACTCAGCCAGTCACAGCGGGACCCTGCTCTGAAGCTTGCTGCCTGCCTCGTGCAGGCCTGCGGGTCGGAGTGGATCCCAGCAGGGAGTGCTGGGAGCAAGTTCCTGGCCTTGCTGGTGAACTTGGCCTGTGTGGAGGTCCGCCTGACCCTAGAGGAGCCAGATCCCTTGGAGGTAGAGGGGAAGAAAGAAGTGGTAACAGCCTGCTATGTCCTTATTGAGACGGGGATCCAGGAGTGCCTGAGAGAAGAGAAGCCGCTACTAGAAGAGGTGCAGAAAATGCAGCTCATGAGGATCATGGAGGAGGCATTTGGAGCTGTCATGTTCTACTTGAGACAGGTGATGCAGGGCTTTCAAGCAAAGAGTATGTTTTTGTGGGTTTCTCTGGGTGGCTTCGATAGGGTGTTCACTGGGATGCTCAATGGGTGCTCAGCAGCTCACAGCTGTAGCTGTGTGGAGGAAAACATGCTTCTTGGCCCACTGTGGTTCTCACACCTACAGTAGCTCAATAGGACAGCAGCCCTCACGTGCCATTTTCTGTCTGCTTCCTTCTTCGTGTAGGTTAAACAGGAGGAGCTACAAGATCCTTTCATATTTGCTTCTGTTCGCATCCTTGGAGCCTGGATGGCAGAAGAGACGTCCTCCCTCAAGCAGGAAATCTGTGAGCTCTTGCCTTTCCTTGTTGGTTACGCCAAGAAGCTTTTCAAAGAGGGCAGCCCAGCTGGGAGTCTTCCACAGCCAGAGCTGGTCAGCACAGAGGGCTCTGGCTTACCCCGGGATGCTCTGAGGTGTGTATTTTAAGCACAGAGTTGATACATTTTAGCACAAACCTGCTCAAATCTTTTTCTATTTTCTGTTCTCCCTGCAGTGCCAGTTCCTTTTTTCTCCCCAGTTAGAATGGGTCTAAGCCCTGCACTTGCATCCATCTCACATTCCAAATTTCTTTTCCCTTCCAGATTTCTGCTACCTGGCTTTTGCCATTTAACAGCAGAGGACAGGCCCCGGGACATCCTCATCTCAGAAGGAGCACCAGCACTGCTGTGTGAGTACTTCCTCCATCAGTGGGAGGTGCTGATGGCTGAGCCCACGTCCCCGACTCCACTGACAAGCACTGAAATGAGCCTGCAGACAGCGTGTGGGATTTTCCTCAACCTGGTTGTGACAGCACCAGATCTCATCAGGTAACAGCACCACAGGAGCTTGCTTTAAGCCTGGCAGTGGGAAGAAAGAGGGTGCATCTTAAGACACTCTACTGAAACAGGGATGTCTCTTATTCAGCACCAATTACATTTTTTTTGGGTGCTGCATTTAGCCTTGACAGTTTCAGGTGCTTCAGGAAATGCATCTCAGGGTTTGCTTTCTCTCTAGGCGAGACAAAACCTTTTCCTCCTTGATGGAGCTGTTGCTGAAGGCTCTTCCGCTTCTGCTGCCCCAGAAAGATCGCCTGGTTCTAGCAGCCAACGTGGCCACGCTGGGCCTGATGATGGCCAGGATCCTCGCGAGTTCAGCAGGTGAGAAGAGTCCCCAGGGGCAAAGCTGCACATCCCTGTGTGTGGGCAGGGACCAGGCCTGGGTGGTTGGGCTGGAGAAAGCAAACGCGAGGGAAAAAGGTCCAGTTTCTGTTGTTGGAAAAGGGACAAAACCAAAAACCTGGAAGAGCAAGGAATATGCAGAAAATTCAGTAGGGTGACGGGCTGGGATTGAGAGATTTCTAGGGCAGGAGGGTGGTATCCTGCTCTCCCTGAAAGCCCCTGCTGCAGACAGACCCCCTGAAGGATCCCTCCTTTGGCTGAACGAGCTCTGTATCGACTCACTCATTTCCATTGCCTTTTCCTTCCAGTTCTTCGGGACACCCAATCTGCCAAGGACTTTTTCGGAGCTGCCATTCTCTTCCTCTCCCAGGCCCACACCTCCCAGGCAGATCCTGGCAGCGAGGGCTTGGTCGTGGCCGTATCTCCTGCCTACATGGACACCTGGGCTGACATCCAGGAGCTCTGGTTCCTGGGGATGCAGGCCCTGGCCGGCTCCATCCCGCTTTTCCCTTGGCTCCCACAGACCATCCTCCAGACCCGGTGGCTGGAAAACCTCTCAGAGCTCCTGACCCACGTCTCTCCAGCCTCAGTGGATTTTGAGCTCATCTCTGCTTTCCAGGGTGTGTTGGTGGAGCTGGCCAGGGCCAGCAGGCCCTGCAGGGACATCATCCTGTCACACCAGGGCGGGGAGTGGGCCAACCTCTACGGGATGGCAGCTTTGGAACAGTGTCTGTCTGAGCAGTGAGGAGCCAGCAGCACCCCCCTGCAGGAAATGAAGCCACACACAGATCTGTTCAACGTTTCTCACACACCCTTTGGTACTGGGTAGGGACAAAAATAAAGCATTGAAATCACCAAACTTTATAAAAAGGGGAGTGATGCAGCAGAGCTCAGTGGGATCTGCACCGTGACGTGCAGAACCTTTGCTGCCTCAGAACACTTCACCACGCACCTCCTTGACCTTCTGTCCATATTTCTTTTTTAAAAACAGCCTGGTTTATAATTAAAGATGTTTTTTGATGCCTTGTTTGTCAAATTCCTGCAGTCTGGGGATTTCTTTCTGCCCAGAAGGGCCCTGGGAAGTTGCCTGCCTCTCCTTTTACTGTGCTCTCCCAATTTTGTCACAATCCACCCTTCAGGATGTCACCTTATTTTACATGAGGGGCCTGCACACGTTAGGACAGTAACTTGGCAGAAGGCTGCAGAAGGCAGGGACAGGAAAAGCTTTAAAATTTATTGATGGAATAACTCTGTGACTTGGCCCAGACCTGTCCCCTTCTGGGGTGAGGCTGCACAAAGGCCCTTTAGCCGTGCAGTGGGATGACCCCCCCGGCTCATATCCACGGTGGGTACCATAATTCCAAATTAATTCCTACCAAACCTTCACAGCACCACGTTCTGTTGCCTGTTTTGCCCTGTCAAACCCCTGCAGGAGGGATCTGGCTTTGCTCAGGCTCCCTCTCCCTGCAGGGAAGGGACGTACAAGGGAGAGTTTTTCCACTCTCACAAAAGGGGGGGGGGTTCCTGGGCTCTCTGCAGCCTGTGGGGACCGAGGGTGTCAGCAGAAAGGAGTGGGTTACACCCCCTCCCCCGACTCCCTGCAGACTGAGGAGCAGTTTGCTTTTTGGAAGAGAAAGGCCACACGCACGATGGCTGACTCCCCACAGACCGAGGAGCAGTTTGCATTTTGGAAGAGAAAGGCCACACGCACGATGGGGGCGTAAATCACTGCAAGCAGCACCTCTTGGGTACCCCGTGAGCCCGGGTGTAAAAACCCCCAGAGAGAGCAGCCGGGATGGGTGGTATTTGGGGGTTTCTCGGGGGGGAGAGTGGCTGCAGCCGGGGTGAGATGGATTTGGGGGTTTGTCTGTGAGACAGTGGCTGCAGCCGGGGCCGGGAAGGCTTTTCCACCAGGTGTCAGCCGAGGAGCTCTTTGGGAGCCGCAGCCTCACCAGGGACCAGCTCTGCGGGCACAGCAGGGCACCCACCCCGGCTGCCCCAAAAACTCACACCGGGGGGGCTGCGGAATCATCTGATCGAGAGAAAAAAAAATAATAAAAAATTCAAGAGCGGAACTGTCCCCAAAGGAGGGCTGAGTCTGGGTGCATTCCTGCTTTATACATATTTTTAACCTGCTGTTTTACAAAAGCAAACTCCTGACACCAGGGGAGAGGAGGCGGCTGCTGTTGCTCAGGAATAAAAAAAAAAAAAAAAAAAAAGAGAAAAAAAGTCTTTCTGATCTTTCCAGCTCAGCCCTGAAAAGTTAATGCAAGTTGGAACAAAGGCAGGTGCTGCCAGAAGAAGGCAACACGAGCCAAGCAGGCAAATGAGCCTCCTGGCCCTGGAAAAGAGCGTGACTCTGCCCGAGCGTGGGCTGCCCGTCCCAACAGGAGCACCCCAACCTGGCACCACGGGGAAACATCAACGTGCTGGGGGAGTCAGAAACACACTTCAGATCGACAGGAAAAAAAAAAACCACCCCAAACCATCCAAACCCTCAAACGCTTTATCTTCTGACTGTTCCCACTCCCGTATGCTCTTCTGCCTCTGGTCAAAGGGCGTGGGCTTCCCATTAATGAAAGGCTATCATTAGTGCTAATGAGAGATACGTGCCTGTATCAGCAGGAGGGTGCTCCCCTCTCTCCCCCAGTGCCAAACTGGGGCTGGCTGTGGTTCCCAGTGCTGGCTTGGCCATTGTCCAGCCCCATGGGCAGCGGTAGGAGCTTCCCCAACACCTGAGCAGAGGCCCAGGCTGGGCCTGCAGGACCCCATCCCAGAGTAGAGCAGTCCTGGAGCCAGAGGTCTTTGGCTGCTTGTCTGTAATTCCCAGGCAGGCTACCTGGGAGCCCACCAGGAGCCCAGGGAAGTCCTCCAGCTCATCCTTCACCATGTCCCAGGGCAGTGGGGTTTGGGCACCAGCAGGTGCCTGGAGAGGAGCACCTGGCCCTTATTCTCACACTCTTCGATGGGAAGTCCCATCAGGTGTGGGAAGGACCATCCCTGAGACCCTGATGGTTCACCATATACTTGATCTTCTGTATAACATGCAACACGCTCCTCCCGGCTGCCCCTGGGCTGACAGAGGACTGGGTCAGCCACCAGCCTTGCTCTGGGAAGTTACTGGTCTGAATGCCTGAGGAGATGTGCTGTGTAGGTGCTGGGGCTCCATGAACAATATCCCTGCTCTTCTGTCCCAGGACACCACTTTCCAAACACACACGCTCCTCCCGGCTGCCCCTGGGCTGACAGAGGACTGGGTCAGCCACCAGCCTTGCTCTGGGAAGTTACTGGGCTGAATGCCTTAGGAGATGTGCTGTGTAGGTGCTGGGGCTCCATGAACAATATCCCTGCTCTTCTGTCCCAGGACACCACTTTCCAAACACGTTCTTGGCCAGAGAACCCCTAAGGGGCTGTTTTCTCTCCCTAGGGCCCCTGGACTCTGACAACTGCACGTTTGGGAGGGGAGAGCACTGGAGCTGGTGGAGGCTCCTGCCACGTGGGTGTCTCCGTTGGCTCCGGTTGTGTGGGTCTGCAGCCCCCGGTGTGCTCCCAGCCCAGCGCCAGGGAGATGGTGCCCCAGCAGCCTGGCCAAGGCTTCAAAGGCTGTGGGGTCCCTCCTTGGCCACCCTGAGCTTTGTGAGGCCAACCACAGGCAGCACCTGTGGGTATCAGTCCTCCACTGAGAGAAAGGTGGATGTTGGCATCACCTCGTGTCCCCTGCCTGCCACAGCGCTTTGGGATCCCAGCAGGGGGGGGACTGCAGCCAGAACCCCCAGAGCAGACCGTGCTTTGTCTCCCAGTTTATTTGTCTCCCTACCATAAAAAAGACATTGAGGTGCTGGAGCGGGTCCAGAGAAGGGCGACAAAGCTGGTGAGGGGTCTGGAAAATAAGTCTTATGAGGAGAGGCTGAGGGAACTGGGGTTATTCAGCCTGGAGAAGAGGAGGCTGAGGGGAGACCTTATTGCTCTCTACAACTCCCTGAAAGGAGGGTGTAGAGAGATGGGGGTCGGTCTCTTTTCTCAAGTCACAGGTGACAGGACGAGAGGAAATGGCCTCAAGTTACTCCAGGGGAGGTTCAGGCTGGATATTAGGAAAAATTTTTTCACTGAAAGGGTTCTCAGCCATTGGAATGGGCTGCCCAGGGAGGTGGTTGAGGCCCCATCCCTGGAGGTGTTCAAAAGCCGGGTTGATGTAGTGCTGGGAGGTCTGGTTTAGTGATGATGCTTCTTGTTTGTTGTGTGGGTGTCTATTTTTGTCAGTTAGGTTGATGGTTGGACAAGATGATCTTTAAGGTCCCTTCCAACCTAGAAGATTCTGTGATTCTGTGATTTTCAACACCAGGGTGAGACCTCCAGGAACAAGATGATCGTTCACCGGGGCTTGGACAAGATGGATAAGGCCCCAGAGGAGCACACTGTTTCTCTTTGACAGCTTAAAAGTCATAATGCCATTTCAAACCCGACCGTGGCATGAATTATCTTACAGTGTCTATCCCTATCGCCCCAAAAGCACTGGCAATAAAATTAAATATTTCATAGGGTTGTTATTTGGTGCTGCGCTGCGGGAGCCAAGCGGTTTCCCTGTGAGCTGCTGCCGGGGAGCAGCCCCGCGGTGCCGCACACAGACCGGCTCCCGGCCCTGCCCGCCCGCATTTCACACAGTTTCACCTCTTTCTGATGAATAAAAGGCCCGACATTATAGGGACTAGACGAGGAAGGGACGTTAAGAATGAACTGGAACACAACTGCAAAATACAGCATGTCCAATCCAATTTTTCCTAGCAAATGAAACAGATCTGGTGGAAAATAAATACAGAACTTTCAGGAGCAGCGTCGTTCAACAGCATTTGAGGGGAGATGAAGAGATTTGAATAGATGAGCCCTTTACACCTCTCCGCATCCCTCCTCCCTCCCCTAAATGCCATCTTTAATAGAAATAAATTAGAATAAATGATCAGCCCTCGCCTCCTAAAGACAGGTGGCAGGGTAATATTAAAAGAAATGAATAAAAATTCATTTAATGAGCATTGTTAATTAAACCTGGAAATCAAAGAGGTCTGAGTTGTGGGAATTCAGAGGAAAAAATGAAAATGAAGGGAGCCGTAGCTCGGGGCAGGAAGAGTGGAATTAAATTAAATGCAACGTGGGATTGTGTTTGTTAATGTCTATCACACACCCCGGTGCGTTGGGGTTGGGGGGAAAGGGTTTGGTCGCTGCTCGCACACGAGTTACACGCTGCCACCGACGGAAACTCCTGCCCGTCCCCGTCGGGGGGGGCACGGTGAGACCGCGGGGACCCCGCGGGGACACGGCGCCCGTGGGGCCGGGGGTCGTGCGGGAGCGTGTGCCTGTGTTCCTGGGGCGTGCGGGTTTGTGTGTGCGGGTGTGCGTGTACGGGTGTGCGTGTGCGGGTGTGCGTCCCCCTGCATCGCCGTGCGGGGGGGTCACACGCATCACTGCGCGGGCGTGGGCAGCCGCTTGCGTGGGCGTCTTCCCGCGGGAGGGGGGTGTCAACGGGGGTCCCTCTGTCCCCCTGGCAGGGCCGCCCCGTCCTCCCGGCTCGCCCCGCCGGTGCCCGGTGCGGTGCTGGAGGACCCGGTGCTGCGGGCCCGCCTCGCCCTGCCCCGGAGGGAGGGCCCAAACGGAGGGAGGGCTGGAGAGGAGGAGGAGGAGGGAGGGCTGGAGGAAGGAGGGGAGGGCGCGGAGGCAGGCACGCTGCCTGTCGTTGCTCCCCAGTTTCCCCTCGCTCCCTCTCGCCCGCCCTCCCGTCCGTCCGTCCCCTCGGGCAGGGAGCCAGGCCCGGGGCACCCCCAGACACTTCTCCCTCTGCCCAGGCCCGGGTTGGGGCTCTCCGCTTCCCGTCGGGGAGGAGGGGGAAGCGCCCCGGGGGGGATCCCCGGGCTCTCCCGGCAGAACCGGCCCCGGGCCCCGCCGTCGGGCGGAGGTTGATGCTGCCCCCGGGGCCCTCGCTCTGCTCGCGGCCGGGCCCCCCTCTCCCTGCTCGGTAATAAAGTCAAACCCTAGAGCGTTACCGCAGCCCCGCAGCCCTCCCGCACCCCCCGGCCCTCGGGGCTCGGCCCCCGCTCCGGCCCGGGGCGCTCCCCGACAGGGCTCTCAGACGGCGCGGCCCGGGGCGGGGGGAGCCGGGGGTGGCACCACGGGAGGGGGTG